AAAAATTCTGTTTCCATTAGTCATTTGCATCTTCTCAAAAATTGAAGGAAAATACAGATTTCTTTGCACAACTTATATTCACAAATGACGTGAAAAAAAAACATTTTTTGCGTTGGTTTGCCTGTATTTGCAATATACATGTGTATTAGTTACGATGGGTTCATAACATAATCTGAATCTACCTGGGTTCTGGAGACTGATTTAAAAAAAAATCTCCCTAAACTTCAGATTTTTCGAGAGGATTCCGAGGAAAACTCTTGATTTTTGTTTTTGGAGTTAATTGGCAGGTTTACTTGTCAATCTTTTCAAGTTCTAATAGCAACAACTATGTGCTTATTCTATGAAAGATCTGAGCAAGGCTAGGTAATTTTATTTCAAAGTTTTATTGTGAAATGCTAATTTGGATTTTCTTCTTTTTTTTTTTTTTTTTGTACATTCACCTGCATGCCATTGTGTCAGTAAATCTTGAAGCGTTTTATGTACTCAAGGGGTTTTGGGGTTTTTTTGGTGCACTTTTTAATATAATGTGTTTATGCCCGACCTATGGCACAGTTGTTTCATGTTCCAGTCCTCAATGTGGTGAGGTTTTTGGGGGGTTTTTTTACATTCTTCTTCATGTATGCTTAATTAATTAATTTGTACTGCCGAAAAAGCGTTTTCATGTTGTATGTTTGTTTCATTACTTAACGTTGCCAAATTGGCCATGTCATATTCAGTTTGTTGTGTTGTTCATCCCTGACCTTGCCTTGTTGTATACGAGCACACATAAAACGAGATTTTTTAAAAACTCCACCTTACATATACACTTGCACGCTGACTACTGACTTTTATTGTTAAAGAAATTATATATCGTATATCCGGGACCGACAACCCCCACACACTCTCACACAACACAATCGCATTCTACTTTCTCCTGTCATCCTGTCATGCATGAAATAAGTAAAAATTTTTCCCCTCCCCACCCACAATCATATACATTCCACTGTCTGTAATCATAAAATCATGAATAAAATATGATTTGGCATGTTTTCTACATCTGAACTTTAAAAAATAATTGTTGTGTAAAAAAGATCATTTCCCTACCAAAGACAGGATGAAAGTTGGAAGAATTTGTCAGTGAGCTTTCAGTAGCTGAGAATGAAGCTGTGGTCTTGCAAGCATGGTTATTGTTATTTTTGTTACATGTATTAGGAAATGGTCGGAGGCGGAGGTGCTGGTAGTTTGTTTACCATTTCATTGTGAAGAAGAATTAGTGTAGTGTTCTTATGCACATTCTTAACACCACTCGTAGTTTTATGGGTAATTGTGATATTCATGTAAGATTTCGACTTGACCGACAAATGAAATCTCATTCTGTGACAACTTGCTTACGTGTTATTGGTGGTTTGTAGACCTTAGAATGGTAGAACATTTAACATGATGACATAGTGCTGTCAGAAAAGAACAAAAAACTGTCCTAGCAGAAAACACGATCACTCTGCTACTCTTGATTATTTTCACTACCATCTCATGCATAACATTGGGCAGCTGTTGAAAAAGTATCACCGTAAGGGCACGCATAGAAGTCCACTTAAAAACCAAACATGGTTAATCCCAAAACGATGGTAAACCTGGTAAACCGAAAGAAAAGAAAATCCCCCCCCCCCCTTTCTTTTTTTCTATTTAAGCAACCTCTCTAAACCAAAAACACGGCTCTACTTTTGTCATTGTTGCTAGGGATAACTGAGAATGTCAGTACTGTTAAAATTGTGAGCCTTATGCGTTTAAAACCAAAGACTGGATGTTTTGGTGGGTACTCTGGAGTGGTTTGCACCTCCTTTCCTATCAAACATCTTTCGTCCTTAACTCTTTTCCCTCTTTTCTGTGTTTGTTTCTTTCTTTTAACACCTCTAATATGACCTAATTGTGTTGCAAGTGCCATAAAACTCTTACTAAAACTAAGCTAAAGAAACTAAGGGGGTGTGGGTTGTTTAATGGCCCATCATAAAGTCAACCTCTTCCTCTCAGTATCAGGATCTTTCTTGACCAGTATTGAAAGTGCCACAGATTATTATTATCTCTTTACTCTGATCTGCATGCTGGTCTTTGTCAGCAAATTTGGACGTGTCGTGTTTTCAGCACACCTAAGTGGAACATCATAAATTTTGTATTTCAGCCCTCTCAGCCTGGGTTAGCCCTGGCAGTCAATGTCGAAGCCTGCCTTCTCAATTATTTAAATTGTGTCGAGAGGTGGTGTAAAAGAAAAACATCCTTGGGGAGGGGAGGAGGGAAGAAAACCAAAGACAGCCTTACTTTTAAAAAAGCAAAGACTTTAAGAATTTGCATGTTCTGGGCTTATGACATGTGTACAGCTGACCAAAGTTAGGTACTGTAGACAATGCTTGTGCTCCATGTAATCCTGAGCTTCTAAGCCCTAAATGGAATTTACCCTGAACTCTTGTGTAATTTCATTGAATTTTAGTTATACTTTTCCGCAGCTCGTTTTTATGTTGATCTCATCGATCTCATAATTTCTATATGTTTGGGGGTAATATCATGCTGGTGTATATTGATGCTACTGTTTCATATTTGTGTTCTATCTCTGTAAACATGTGTCATTTAGGTGGGTGTGTCATACCTATATTTTGGTACCCCAGGGTATTTGTCATGTTACGTTCATACCGATATTTCGGTATAGAGGGTTCAAAGGGTTAATTGTTCCTGATATGTGTACATTGTTTGCTGCAGAAGACCTGTATGTGTAGCTCATAATGGTGTGCACCGTCGTCTGTGGTATAGCAGTGAGGCTCTTTGTGTCAAAAGCAGGAGAACCGAGTTCAGTTCCTGAATAGGGTGAATATTTTTATATGAGAGTGTCTCAGCCTTTCTGATGGAATGTCCTATCCTTTCAGCCCTGACAGCGAGGGTCGGAAGCCTGCCTCCTAAAATGATATAAATTGTGTTGATATAATGGGGGAATAAAAATACTTACATTTAAAAAAATAAAACAGGTATGCTATACATTATGCTCTGTGCACATCTGTATCGATATGCCCTGTGCCCTCCCTGGGATTATTGAAATGAAGGAAGGGTTTGGGAGCGGTGATTGTTCCTTTTCTTGTAAGTGGAATAATGTAGAGTTCACATTGTTTTGTTGATATGTTGAAACGTAAGTGGAATAATGCAGAATTCACATTGTTTTGTTGATATTGTATTGAAACGTATGTATGTCTTTGCAATTATGTTTAGTTTTTTGTAGTAGTGTACAAAATGTACAGCAGAATAGGAGTTGTTTACGACACATGTACTAAATACTTATTGTACTCTGCTCTGTTATGCTGTGATGATGTGATCGTGTATAAATGAAGTTGTGGATGATTATGCCGAAATCACTGATGTTTTTGTTTATGGTAGGTGGCACGGTGTGGGCTTTTGAGCTGATGGAATAAAAGATGTGCAATGATGGGTTCTTCTTCTCCTCTTTTTTTTTTTCAGCCATTGCAATGTTCTTGTTGAAAATATGGGAGGTTGGCTGGTGCTTTAATGTGGTTTCTGCCTTCTTTTCTATCGAACGTTTTTCTTCTTTATTTTTCCTCATTTTTCTTTGTGTGTTACTCCACAGTGGTAGTAGCACCTCTAATATTTGACACTTATATGACTCACTGGATTTACTCTACAACAGTGGGTCGTTGAAGGGTGGTCTGGTTTGGTTGCTCCTACTTTCCTATCAAATATCTTATTATTGTCCTTATCTCAACTTTTTGTCTTTCCCCTCGGGGCAGTGCCACTGACTGATGTCTTTAGGTCATTCCCAAAGGGGGAACATTTCTCGATCAAGCATAGTAGAATTGTAAATGGGCTGACTCATGTCACGCTCATAACTGTGACTGATCTACAGTTGGCTAAAACAGCACCTGGACATGGATGGCTGGTGCCTCTATAAATAAATCATTGATGGTCAAGACCTGATCTACAACAAGAAACTGCTGCTTTTTCTTTCCTGATCAATGCTATTGTCATTTTCCTCTACTTCTTTTGTATGTTTGTCACTCTCTTGTGACCTGCTATTTTTGGGTGCCTTGATAGTCGAAGCAGACCACGTGCTGTTGAAACTAGAGAGGTGAGCAGTCTAAGTCTGATTCCGTGTAAAGACTTCTCTGTTGACACCCACCCCTTTGCGCTCATATGACCCTATGCAGTTGCGAGCGCTGTAAAACCCTCTACTATAAAAAAAAAACAAAAAACTTTTTGTCTGTGTATGTTACTCTCTAATTAAACATCTCAAGATATGAGACTGAAATATTGAATTACTACAGTTGTGGTGTATTCAGACTGTTTGAATAAGACAATCACCTGTACAAACAACCGACTACCCCCTGTATAAGACAATCAGTGGTACAAACGGCCTCTTCACTCTTCATCCCTTTTGTATTTTTTACAATAATAATTATAATATATGACAGTGTATAAGATGGCCACCATTTTGCTGGACAATGGGTGACCATCTGAGTTTTGTGTCCTTGGGAAAGGTACTTAACACGAATTTCCCATTTGGCTCGGTCCTTTCGGAGATGGATGTTAAACTCAGAGGTCCCGCCTCTTAAAAAACCTTATTAGTGTTGATAGGGTCGTTAAACCTTTACCATTTTACCTTTAATTTTTCTAGTCTTCAGCACTTATGTCACCTAATTGTGTTGCAAGTGCAGTAAAACGCTCACTAAAAATGTTAAATGTGCATTGCAATCAAAGAAAGTAATAAACTAATGCCTGTGGTGGGGTGGTTAGGTGTGTTGCTGTCGCTCACAGAAGTGGGGAGATTTATCTAGTATCTGGATCTTTCTCCTTGATCACTATATCAGTATATCCCTCTCAACTCAGGTTTGTTCTTTTTTTTAAATTCTCTTGTAACACTTGTAAGTCTTCAGACTTATATGATTTTGTTTGTTGAAAGTGCTGTAAAATCGTATAAAAACTTTTGAAAAACCCCAAAACCAACCACGTCTCCTTCTCCCTCAATCCAGGCACGAGCGTTTCTCTGGCTTCTACAAGGGCCTGTGGCCGAACCTACTGCGTGTCACCCCGGCCTGCGCCATCACTTTCTTTGTCTACGAGTCCATCATCACCGCCTTCAACCCCACGCCGTCTCCGCCAGGGGGTGTCACAACTCAGGAAATAAAGTCTACGACAGAAGACGACGCGACTCAGGAATGAATTTGATGCTAGATGGCGACTCTATTCAGGATGTCTTGTCGACTCGGTAGGTGATGTCTCTGCTCAGATGAAGTTGGGGACGACCAGTTCTTACTGAGTGTTGCTGATACTGGTACTGAGATGTCACATGCGGGTGTGTACTGATATCTGACATCTCTAGTGGCAGCATGTTGTTATGTAGGGGTGTGAACTGACTTATGTCTTTGGCTCGGAGTACAACTGTGTGTCCATGCACTCGGGTTTTGAGAAATAGGTCCTACTAAGTTTTAAATGGCTCCAGTTTCAAATCAATCACCAACTGATTCATGTAACTGTTACCCATTGTTTGTGTGTATAATCAATGTTTCAACTTTGGAAGTTTTAATAGGTTGCTGTTTTGGTGTGGAATTGGGAAAAGTTTGTTTTAAGAAACCAGTTTTCTGAAGTTAACTGAATGCCACAAAGTACAACTGTCATATCTCCATATTATTTTGTTCTAAATTTCTATAATCTAGTCTAATCTCATGGCTAAGTCCCTTTCCTGCAGGGCAGAAGGTCCTCCTTGGCTCCAGCGTCCTACAGGAGGCGATATGAAACCAAATTTTTTCAGAGTTTCAATTGGCTTTGATACCTGGCTCACATGAAGTCAATGTCCTATCGCAGAATTATGTTAAAATTAGAGACGGCTTCTTCAAGGGATTTAAATCTCAACTAATTGTCATTCCAGTTGCATGGGCATGAGACAGTGACTGTAGTCCCCCCATCCTTAGGCCCACGTTGCTTCCTGGTGGACACAGTGCTCACTATGTTGACACTGGATTCGTATAGCTGCACTAGCACATTTAATTTCTCTCATATGACCTTATTATGTCACAAGGGATTACGAATGAAACAAAATGCAAGGTTTTATGTCTCGTCCAACCAAAAACTAAATGAAGGGAGCAAAGGAAAAAGGGGTATTGTCATTTTTTTCACTTTTGAGAAAATCCAATTTTAAATTTTGACTTTCTCCTTTCTGGCATAGTACACAGTATTTTTAAACATGGTGTACCTTGTGACTCTCCCCTTTTTTTCAGTCAGATTTATGTGTGGACAAGTCCATCATCATTGGCTATCCACTCATTAGCTTATCACAAAAATTTGAAAATATAGTATTGTAGCATTAGTACAGACGAAAATTACATTTGACTCACTCATCAAATTCAATGAACATGCACTTTGAGTATAGTTTCCACAGAACTAGAAGTAGGCCCTATGCCTTACAATTCAAGTCTACAGGCCGCATGCATTTCTTATGTAGGCTCTGTCAACAACAAGGGGCATGTGATCCAACATAGCTGTTGTGTCTTTAAACTTTGTCTTTTGATAGGAGGCTTTTTTGTGGAGTGTGAGGAACAGAACTCCCTAGAGTGGGAAAGGTTTAATTTCTGACAGACTGATCAGTATTGAGCTTCTTTCTAGTGACAGCAGGTCAAACTGACACTGTATTATGGAACTCTTCTGAATGAGAAAGTTTGTAAGACACATGAAAGTGTTGGCGTGCGTGACATTTTAGTTTGTTTCACTCTTGTGAAAGGTACATTGGAAAACACAAGTTGCTGTGCAGCCTTCTGAAAATCTAAAAAGTTTGCTTGCTTCTTTTGAATAACATTCATGTTTCTGATCTTTGTCAGATTTCTTACAAATCCCACCGGACTAAAGATTTCACAGTGCCGCAAGTGCCGTTCAATGACACTATGGATGCTGTCAACTTCTTGCAAACAGCTGTGACCAGGTGCTAAACACTTTTGTATGATAGTGTTAACCTCAGGATGTCTACTCAGAAAATGTTTCAGAGCAAAAGACCTAAGACATTTCCTGTTTTGTGAAACACAACTATCTGACCACAAAATCAAATCCTTCATGGAAGAATCTTTCTCATACATTGTCTCGAACATGACATACCTACCAGAAGCTATATGATTGTCTACCCTCCTTGATATTCCCTCATTCCCCACAAAACAATAATTTTTCTTGCTCACTGAGCAGTGGCCTGTCAAATTGAAATTGTAAGATGACAGTTTCCTCTTATAGAAAAAATTGGATATTTCTGTTTTAGGGAGTGGAATGACATTTTCCATGTCAAAACTGACAAAATAGCTTTCACTATTTCTGTCTCTGTTTCACACCTCCCTGGCAAGCAGTTTCTCTGTTAAGTGCTTCTCAAAATCTGTTTGTGCTTCCTGAGACGGTTCTTCTCCTTGTGACTTTTTGTTTTTAACAAGCTCACACGTATCCTTCTTTGGCTTTATAAATGAGATAGTTAAAGATGTGGGCATACATATGCCTTTTAACGGGTTTTTCACTTTTCTCAAGACAGTACTCACAGTACATACTACAGTATAACACGGATAGGTCGAACACAGAAAACTCGAAAATCACGCCACGGCGTTACTTTTCGCCCAATTCTGTTACTTTTAGTTAGCGTGACTCAGCCGCCCGCCGGCGCTTCACTTCACGGGGTTAATAAGCCCCGACGTGACTTCGCCCGTGTCAGTTAAGAAGTTGGAATTTTTGTTAACTTTTAGAACGATATAACTTCCTCCCCGTTCAACCCAGCATACCATTACACTGATGTACGTAAAGCCTAGTGTTTCGAGATTTATTCTTCGTTGGAGTGGTTATTTTCTGTGCCTTAGTTTTTGTTCTAGACAAGTGTTTGTAGAGTACCCTATTCGGTCTATTTTTAGTTACATATGTATGAATAAATGCTTGTTTATTTAACATATGCACGACAGATCTCTCCAAAGTATGTCTTAAACTGACGACAAATAGCATGTCTTTCACCATGAGAAATCTTATATCTGCGCTAATAGTAGTAGTCGAGTTATAGGAGAAGAAAGATGCACATCTGCATTTTTTGACAAAATTCGCTCAGTGTTACTCATTTGACTCCTACTTTACCATGGAACGCACAAGAGAAAGACATTATGTGTTTGTTCATGAATTGTGTCGTATCTGTGGCAGCCTGCATACAACTAGAAAAGATAAGAGTTCATATAAAAAACCAAAACTGTGTAAAGACATGAGCAGAGATATACTTTTTGTATTTGGAATAGACACCAAAACTGACAACCCAGACATTCATTCTCAGTTTTTGTGTCGGAAATGCGCACGTAAGCTTCTGCAAGTGAAGAA